TACTTCACTCGTTCATACTTAAGATATAGGTGTGCGTGAAAGCTGGATTGGAAATTCCAACTCGGGTAACTAAAAAGTTAGAAGGGTGTAATTTTAAGGGGATGTTCTCTGTCCATGTAAGTCTCAATGAGTTCAAACCCAGACACTGGGTATGTGTGGTACTCACATACGAGCCCGTAACAGTTTTTTCGAGCAAGTTGCTAAATTCAGCTTTCATGTACCATCACGTGGAATGTTCAGTGGGAAATTCCCCATCCCTTACAGGTGCCTGAGTAGCGCAGTCGGTTAGCGCGTCAGTCTCATAATCTGAAGGCCGTGAGTTCGAACCTCACCTCGGGCAGCATCTCTTTTGCAGATTTGGGAAAATGTACCAACCAGTTCACATTGGTTTGTAAACGTACAATTTTCCCTGTTCCACATACTGGCAGATAAAACAGGCAAAATTTTTTGTATTTATTTGTAAGGTACTCCTTTTGTCATCAGAAATACGAAGGCTGTTCGGCAAATCACCGCGGGCAACTTAGAGAAGATACCTCCTATTCATAGTTTCCCTCAAAAAACCCCTTTTGCAGATTTGTAGAAATATGCCAATCAGTTCACATTGGTTTGTAAACGTAAAATTTTCCTCGTTCCACATACTGGCAGAGAAAACAAACAAAATTTTTTGTGTTTCTTTTGTTAGGTATTTCTCTTATCATCAGAAATACGAAGGCTGTTCGGCAAAAATCACTGCAGGCAACTTAGAGAAGATAACTCCTATTATTCATATTTACCCTCAAAAAATCCAAACAATATGCCGACTATTTTTTCACACACAAAAGTGTAAAACAGTTACACTTTTAGCAGGCAAACATTCGCTAGACGGAACTGCGCAAAATGCATGATCGCACCGGTTACCCTGGCGCGTCGCTATTTATTTGTCTCTCATTTTTATCAGAATAAAAATATTAGCAATTCGCCTTGGCGTACACTGCACTGATAGCAGTGCAGTTTGGAAATGCAATATTTTATGACGCGCACAAGTTTTAGACGCCTACCACGCTTGATTTCACGTTCGTTGGAACACCGCTTCTTTCCCTCAGCATGTGCGCAACTTTAAGTTTCAGTTTTTGTATAACTTATTAGTACTTACTTGGACGGGGAACATTCCCTTAAAATTCCGGTTTTTTAGCATCTCAGAACCCCAAGTTATGAATTTACGCGGGAAAAATTTTGGCGGGCCCGTACGCGGGTACCACGCCCAAAATCGACAACAAAAAGGGGTTTTGAGACTCACATCCATCGTTATCCGTCTTTTTGAAAATCAGTACTCGTCATTTAGGCAAAAAAGAGGTATGCTTTCGATTTAAAAATGAAATTTTAAATGAACGGAACGTGTAAAAAAAGACTGAAAATGCCTGACTGAAGCGAACCTGTACAATTTGAATGAGTAATGTGATGAATTCATCCAAATGAGGCATCAAATTGACTTCTAACGCTCGACATAAATCAACGAGAACACCGATTGCGGCCGAGCACACCTGTGCTTCTTCGTGGTTACAGAGGCCGGCTACCAAAAATGGCTTAAATACATCCAAATATTTCATAAATGACGTGCCCAATGCTGAAAACAATACATTTTAAGAAAAACATAAAAAGTTTGCTTAATTAATCATCTAGCTTTCCTAGTTCCCGAATTAGCGATTTCCCTGACAAAGCTTTCATGCACTCGTACGCGGGACTTAGACGTGCCGCAGGGTTGGTACCGCGGTCCTGGGTATGCACTTGGCTGGGGGACTTACTGGCAAATTTTTGGCGCTGGAGCTTGCTTGGTTGCCGAGTTTAAATACCCGAACAAACAGACAGACAGACAGACAGACACACATATACACACTAAATCCTCTGGCTCATATAATAGCGCATGCACCAAACACGTTTTCAGAAAAAAAAGTACCTTCGATAAGTGTACTAACTGCCATCAGTGCATCTTCCATGACGCCACCACATTCCTTGCCAGCGCATCTAAAATTAGCTTTTTGAGTTCATCGAATCAAATTAGGATTTGAATAAATATATTCTTACTGAAACTATACGAGGAAGTAAAATCCGGTGAGGAAGGCATGTTTCTCGCTTTACTGGCGACCAGTGAATATCGTGAATTAGTTGGTGGCACCAGCGAGAAAGTAAACAACCACTCGGGAGGGCTCTCGAAGAAGTGGCGCACATACTTCAAACAAGGGTTCGGATGAATTAGAGAAAAGCAGCCCTGGCGTAATTGCGCCCGACGAGTTGTAGCATCCCAGTAACAACACTACATGATCTTTGCATTCTTAAAACAGTAATTAAGACAGTTCAGCATATCACTACAGCTCTGGGTGTATTTGTGTGTGTATGTGTGTGTGTATGGGTATGTATGTAGGTATGTATGTGTGTGTGTGTGTGTCGGTATATATGTGTGGGTATGTATGTGTGGGTATGTATGTGTGTGGGTATGTATGTGTGTTTGTGTATGTGTGTCAGGGCATTTTGTTCTGCGCTTTCAGTTTCAGAACTGCAGAAACTAGGCGGCTGAAAATTTAGTAGAATTTCACACATTTGTATATATTAAGTGTTTTTTTTGGAAGAGCAGTTGAGCTAGTAATTCCTTTCAAAAGTGACAAAAGCAACAAAATTGTCAAATGATGCAACGACTGGTCAAAGAAAGTGGAAAAGTTGCCAGCTGCACAGATGGAGGGTCATTCTAACAATTACAGCTAATATATAGATATTTCAAATTTTTCGAAACTGAAAGGAAAAGAGCACCTTTGCATAATCTGCAATAATCCTTGCATGATAGCATCACCAATATATGGCGCATCTTCGGGTCTCATT